ATTTTGGGTTAAAGAAAAAACAATTGATACATTTTTCAAATATTACGTAAATCAGCAAAATTGATTTAAATGAAAAAAAAGTATTTTTTTTTTAAATCTGATGTTTTTGATTTTTTAAAAGAATTATGAATTTTACTACCCCTAACATTGGATGACGATTAAGGTTTAAGGGTGCTTCAACAGCTAAGGTAATTGGCGCCCTTATCAAATTATTTAAGAGCAATATGCACTGTAGCAGAGCCAAACTAAAACATTTTTAATGCAAAGTAAAAAGTGAGTAAAACAAATTTAAAGGAATTCAATTATTTAAAAAAAAGGCAGAAATAAGCCAGATAAACACTTCAAAATCTCCAATTAAAAGCGAAACAATTGGCATGATCTTCTCTCAGATAATGCAGTTAAGGCCAGTCTCTCTTAAGAAGCTACAAAGCTTGCAGGGAGAAGATTCGTCATTTCCAAGTGCCTGTGTTAGAGATCTAGCAAGGTGATGCCTTCGGCGGCTATCTCTTACCTTAGGACAGTGCAGGAGAACTTACTCCACGGTAAGATCCGTCTCGCAACTTTGTAAGTAGCGGGTGGGTCACCGGGGAGATGTCCGTGGGAGAAATGGCAGCGACCGAGCCGAAAACTTATCAGAATTCTCCTCGCGCCTTGACTCACGAGGTGAAGACCGAACCTTTATGGAATCCTTGATTCTAGCGAGTTTAAAATCTGAGTTCTGCCACTGTTTGCCACGCACCGAGTATAGAGCGTTTGATAAACAGCTCGGTATCATTTGTTGGGACTGAATATGTCTACCTCAGTTTTCTTCGTGGCGAGGTTTTCCTTCCTGATCAGCAATTTCCTTTCCTATTATCACAACGTGACCAGGAATCCAACCAAAAACCAAATTATAACGACGCGCTAATAAATTACGGATTTCATGATGGATAATCATTGTCAGAGTGTCACAAGAAGAGAAGTCGGAGAGAGATTCGAGGGAGCTTTTTGAATCATTTCAGATCCCTGCTTCCTTTACTGTGATCAATTTAGCGAACTTAAGTGCCTCCAAGAGCACATATTTCTCTGCAGTATAAGCGCTACACGTAGTGTCTATTCGAAGACTTCGCGTGGCACTGTAGAAAGAACACTACCATTTTACTTTACCTACCACACCTTACCAGTTTGGAAGGAACCATCAGTGTATATAAAGTTATAGCCGGAATACATGGATTTCGTCTCCTGAAATTCCGCCAGAAATGTACAGGGGGCAGTTGAGGATTTGGGGAACTGTGATCATGTTAGGTCTATTTGAGGCCGGAGAAGCTTCCAAGGGGGAACAAGACTTTGGGAGAGGGGTTAAAAGGATGGGGAGTTTTATATCGAGTTTCTGCAAAAGCGTGTAGAGACTGATACCGGGAAGATGTGGTAACGATGGTCTGAGTGCGACTGTACGATATCCTGTGACTTGGGAGAAGAATTGCTTGGCGCGAAGAAGTATTTATAGTCGATTCTTTCGCACCATAGGAACAGATTACAAATATCTCGCTTTCGCCTCAGGGATGGTTCACCAGCTTCGGCTCCAGCAAGAGGCATTCAATGAGACTCGTAGGGAAGGCGCCTTTGCTGATCCGTATACCGCCATAGTGTATAATTTCAATGACCGAAGGGTCGATGGAGGTGCTGACCTATAAACAATACACCTATGATCTAAGATAGGACGGATGACGGTCCTATACAGACACGAAAGACATACTCGGTCTGGGCACCCCATGTGGAGACTGAGTGCGAAGGACGTTCACTGGTGATATGCAGCGACTCGAAGTTTTGGATATGCTTTTGTCATGTTAAACTCTTGTCGAATGTCAGGAAAGAAACTGGGAGATTCAAAGGGAAGTTGATACCCCCCCTCCAAAGATCAGGATGATAATGGAGGTGATGAATTCTAGAGAAGTGCATGCAACTGGATTTTGAGAGGAATAACATGTATCCAGTTTTATCGCTCTATTCTTCCAGTTTGTAGACGACAAGCTGTAACTGCCTCTCAATAACGTGCATGCTTTTCGAGGAGCAAAATATGCCAAATAACGAAGGGCGATGCTTTCACAGGCTCTTGGATTACTGATGCGATACTATTGATAGCAATGGCAAGCTGAGTGACACTCAGAATAGATCCCTGGAGAACATAGTTTTCTCACTGGTGACTTGAGTATAACGTGTCGGTGACTTGAGTATAACGTGTCGGTGACTTGAGTATAACGTGTCGGTGACTTGAGTGACGCGGAAAGATCTTGACGAAAGAAAATCTTCTAGAAACGAAAGGAGCCTTCCCCTCCTCAGGCCCCAAGAATGCAAGATGCGAAGAATGCTGTACCTCCAGGTGGTGTCATATGCTTTCTCTATGTGGATAAAAATTGCTACAATGTGTTGTCGTAGTACGAAAGAGGAGATTGTGTGGCAAGGGAGACTAAGTGGTCTGGTACTGGAGCAGGCTCTTTTGCACAAGCGAGGGCACAGGAAAATTCATCCATTGCGAAACGAGCATTGTGATCTTCCTCCACGCGACTCGAGAAATCTAGTCTCCAGTTCTCCATTCTTCTTACCCGGCCCGGCCGGGCAGGGTAACTCAAAATGTTTACTTTTCACATAGAGATAGCAAACTTCATATCCTGTGATGAAACCCAAAACCCTCCAAGCAGTTTCTTCCGCAAACTCAGTTGTCTTTAAATTTCAAATGACAATAATGCGATTCTCCCAGCGTTTACTAGATAACTAAATGCAAAGCTCAACGTATCCATTCAAATAATAGTTGAAATAATAATAATAATAATAATAATAATAATAATAATAATAATAATAATAAACCGCGTTCACAATAATGCAGCAATTACAGGTCGCTAGGTGCATAATACTCCTTCCCCTACCGGTGTCCGGTGTGTACGCTTCTCACGGTGAGCTGCCCATGCCGTTCTTGATTCCCTGTTCACTGCTCTGAGTTCGCGAGCCCATTAACATGCCCTGATTTCTTTCCTAATATTTGCTTCCGGGAAAGATGGTAGAATCTGTTGTCTTCCTACTAAGCACCCAACGTAATACGTGACATTTGTACACCGAGTTTTTTTATAGATTTATGTTGTTCAAAAGACACCTTCAATAATGTGTGTCGATCATATAAATTAATTTGTTATTTACACTTGATGCGAACAGACAAGCTTCACGAAAGCATCAGCTTCCGCGGCTGGAGTTAGTAACCCCTTGGCTGTTCCGAAAACGCCGGGTCCTAGGCAAAAGTGCCGGCGTTTTGACCATTCTGCGACCTTCCCCAGGGCGAAATGTGCGGAGATAGACTCCGCAAGAGTTCATACATACAAGCTCCCACCCACATTAGCCCGCTATGTGGCCGTCAAACTGAAGCCTCTATGATATCAAGTCGCCTGTCAGGAATTCGGTCCATCTTCTTAATCATCTCAAGGAGACACGCGTAAATGACACGAACGTCCTCATGAGCTTCGATGTCAAGTCTTTGCTCACCATGGTACCGGCGGACGGGGTGGCCACTACCATACGCAACAAACACTTCTGGTACTCTACGGAATTGGCCGACTTAGCTCTGTTCTCCAAGTCCACTTTTTTAATACCGTGAGCAACTATGCCCAACTAGGAGCGACGATAGGTTCCCCACTCTCTGTTTTATGATGGCAAACTAATTGACAGAAGCTTTCGAAAAGTGTCTACAAGAAACCCATTCATACCTACCGCTACCTGCACGCTGGCTCTCACTATCACCGGCAACTAAACGAGTGGTTTTGAAAGCTATGGCCATCAGAATCAGTAGTAGTGTGTGTGTGTGTGTGTGTGTGTGTGTGTGTGATGAATACTTAGACTGTGAAACGAAGCTCCCCAACCTAGCAGTAGCAGGTAGCGAGCACCTCTAGCATTGCTGACATCACTACGCCTAGCGACGATATCAACCGGAAGATAGCCAGTTTATAAGGAGCCACCGAGTAAAATGGAAAAGTTTTGAGCCGCTTCGGCACAGGGACACAAACCTGCCTACAAAGTCCATGAAAAACTCGGGGAAAAAGATGGTACGTGTTAGAGATCGCGTCTCACCTATTGTCAAGAGGGGAATACGCGATCCGATGTAGCTGCGGCCACAGTTAAATCGTTGAAGCAGGTCCAACCATTGAGGAACGCCTCCGGGAACAAATCCGCCACTACAAGTGCAATATAAATAAGTTGACCGTAGCCCTCCATGCTCGGAAAACTAGCCACGCAATTCTTTTAGATAACACCCGCATTATGGCCAGGGGAGACCGCTGGGGAAAGACGAGGGTAAAAGATGCTATGGAATTTATCAAACATACAGAAAACCTCAATGCCGGCCAAGGTTCACGTCCACATGAGGCCTGGAGACGTCAGTTTTACCGCCACGCACAGTCGCGTCAGGGTCTTGCCCGCCGCCTCCCGCCCCGGACAGAGCGCCCGTTCCCTAAATGGCCAATCGCCCGGCCAACCGGCTGCCGAGTAGGGGGGAACCTTGCGCTTTATAAATTAGTGCACAGTCCAGCTCCGCGCATTTCGCCCTCAGGAAGGTCGCAGAATGGAGGCTGAAACATTGGCATTTGCGCTTGGAAGCAGCGTCTCCCGTAGGCCAGTAATTACAGTCAGGCCTCATTTCATGACAGAAATGAAATACACAAACCCTTAATTTTTTAATACATTTTCGTGACTTAAGTGCAATAAAAACACATTCATATGAATTTAAAATGTCATAATTTAGTTCACATGATGGTACATGAAAAATAGACAATATAATCACTTGTTTCTTTTGAACCAGAAATAAAATAATCATTAAAATAATCGCCACTATTTTATACACTACTATTATCACTACACATTGCACCTTTTACACCACCACATACAGGTCATCTATTGTATATTATTACACTTTCTATTCATTGAATTTTATTGCATCATGAAATCATGTTGTAGCATGAATAAGAACATTTCATACTTACCACATCCAATGCATTTATAGTAGTATCATCTCGACTTGCTGCAACACAACCATCATCAGGAGAACCTCCATCACACATACCAGCAAAAGCTGCCATAGATCTGGCAGCGCGCAGGTACATCAGAAGATCTGTGTCAAGTGTCATGGCTGGGACCCATCGTAAATCCTCTCTCTCCTTTTCCAAGTCGGGATCCGGAGGCATGTCAGAAATGTCAGAAGACAAAATATTGGGCCGATACTCGGGAAGGCGAGCCTGCAGTTTAAAAAAATTGGTATAACACCCCAAAATAGTAACAAGCAACACAATTTTCCAATTACAAAGTGTTCCATAGATATTCTGCTGTAATTAATGATTTCAAAACTGCAATAAATATTTTTCCATCATCCACAAATTTTGCATTATAACAATTTTAAATACTGCTTTTATGTTTTTCATAGAGGTAAGTAATTATGGATTTCTAAAAAGGGTCAGGATTTAAGCTTCATATTGTTATAAAGACAATATTTCTGTACAACGTAATAACTAGGAAATCCAAGCACATACCGGATGAGTTTACCTCTTAGCCAGCATTGCCTCTGAAGTAATAGGGTTCACGTCCCGATGGTGGCGGGTATTCGATACTAAATCGATAGTTAGGTCGAATTCATCCGCTGTCTGGAGAACTCTAGCTGCCGGCTGCTCTGATCGGTAGCTTTCAGTGGTTTCTCCGATCAACACCCGCCGAATGCCGGAGCAGTACCCTGACAAACGGGCCACGGACCGCGCGTGATCTTTCTTCCTCTTTATATTCTCTCCTCTTATACATATACATACATATACTAGACTACCACACTCGGCAGACCATTCGGTAGCCTAAGCCTTGTTCCACTTGTGGCAGTGTCTCTCTAGGGAAGATATTTTGAGGGAACCCCCACCCCCGCAAACTGACATGTAGGTTGGCGTCGGAACTCACTACCCAGTGCAAAAGGTAAACTGCCCCCTCACGAAATAATATAACATTCATTACACTAACGGGACTACTGATTGTAGTAATTGAGAAACAATCCAATAAGCACATAGTAAAATATCGATATTTACTATGTGCTTATTAGCACATAGTAAATATCGATATTTTACTATGTGCTTATTACATGTTACATGCCAAGAGCCACACAATTAAGAGCTACCTGTAGCACAACCTCCACCGTCTCCAAAAGTAGATAAATGAGATGAGCCACCTACCAAGGAGCAAGATCTTAATTTTGAAACTTCCCATTAGCATCGTCAGATAAGTCAATGTGATTTAAATAACAATCCAGGATTTGGATTAATACACCCTGAGCATTCGGATCTTAGACTGAAAGGCTGGAATCTCTAGTGTTCGGACTAAAGTGTGCTTCGATCGTATCCATCTTAACATGCTGTACTTGTCGAATTTACTATATGGCTATATTGATGTCATATGGCCAAGAAACGTGTTTTGCATACCAGCAAGGATTTAAACTAGAGGGACTACAACGGCACATACTTTCTCACATTATTGGAAAGTTATGTAACATTGAAATATTGTAATTTCTGCCATACTAGAAACTTCGATTTGAAAAAGTCAAATTCAACCAATTTTAACGAAGCTCGTGTGGTGCATACCTGCGTTTATTTCGATAGCCTGAAACAATAGTAATTTCTAACTTATACAAATTAAACATGAAAAATGTTAACTACTACCGTATTTGCATCGTGTAATACAGAAAAGCAAGAATAATTTCACACAAGCCTGCTTTGATTCTATTGAAGTGAGTGTTTGAAAACCAAAATCAGCGATCAAAACTTTTTAAAGTAAAGAAGTGTGTTTGCTAGATCTAAGTATAATTTATAACATTCAATATCTTTCTTTTCATAAGAATATTATATACTTTATACAATCAATAGGCCCAACAACAATGAGACGAATTCGAAGAATTTTGAAACCACAGTGTTACTATTTTGCGAACTTACAAAGAGACATACGAAGCGCACGAAATTTGAATTTACAATTCGGAATTGGGGCAATTTTCAAAAATATAAAGTGCGCTGAAAATGTGGGTTTGAATTAGATTTTTTGCAATTTACGAAAATGAGGAACTTCAACGAAAACCAGACCTCTTAAGCATCCTTTACGCTATCAGAGCTCAAAATTAAATCAAAAAAATTGGTACAATTTTTTAAAAATTCTTGAGGATGTCACAAGTGCTTCGTGTAAAGTAACCCTCAAAATTGAAATATGTTTTAAATTAAAAGGGGGCGCGATATCCATTGGGGAATATTAAATCTGATGAAAATCCTGATTATGGTTTAGCCGCTAGCATTGTTCAGACTTACGGACGTTTTACTTTCAATCGACTCTCCGGCATCAAGGGCCCACAAAACATGGAGTATGACGATCCAACGTGTTAGAGAAAGTAATTTACGTCATAAGCTTTTCTGTCAAATTCCGTCATTTTCCCCAGCAAATAATATTATTATTTCAAGTTATACAATGGTTTATAATGTTTCAATGTACTCAAAAATAGATTGGTTTTGTATGTATTTCATTACACCTACACCATAAAATTTTATTATCATTACATGCAGGGCAAAATATACAACTATCACAAGGCTCATGGCGCACCCAACCCCCATCCTACCCCCCCAAAGCTAATGATATATATTCAAAAAAATAGCTTTATATTACATTTTATATTCAGCATAAAGAAAAGATCACTTCAGGTAGACGCTAAAAATGTAGCCCCCACCTAGAAAAATGTAGGCGCGCCTCTGCACAGTAAATTCCCATACGATTGTTGAAATTGATATCCTCTGCATTGTTGTATATTAGTTCTTGTGACACCAAATCAAGGGAAATCTAACAAGTCATCTCTACAAACGCAATCGGAATTGAGATAATTTTTGTTTCACTGGAGTCCTACCCAAACGTTTTAACTAAGGACCCTGAAGAATGGGGAGACGTTTCTTTGAAATATTGTTCTAGAAAAAGTGTATCACTTCAAAATGGCACAAAAATAGTAAACTAATGGTGCTACACCAACACATGCAAAAGTGTTTCCCGCAAGCAGAAATTATTTTGCGCACCGAAACAGCAGAAATTATTTTCCGAACTCAAGTCCTTCGCGTTAACTTGCCGACAGCCACACCACTACGGTTATAGTAAAAATGGTCAGGTTTGAACTCCGGCCCAAGCTTGAAAATTCTCTAAGCATATTTCCAACACGCGATTTTAGAAAATACACCGAAAATGGAAGTTGCACATTTTTATCCACAGGTGTTGTATTCAAAGAAAAAGTTAAACGAAGAAAAGCTTGTGCTGTTTTTGAAATTTGTTTTTAAAGAAATTGCATAAATTACACAAATTACGCGAAATTACTCGTTTTTCTCAAAAAAGTGTACATGACCTTTATGAAGAGCTGATTTTTTACAACAGACTTTATTGAGGACAAAATCAGTATCTTCAATTCTGTAGTTTTGATATTTCTAATATGGAGATCGCCGAAAATAGGACTAGCACAATATTATTTATTGTTCCTTGACGCATATAGAAAGAATATAGAAAATTTAAAGAAAAAATTTGAAACTGTTTTTGAGAATTGCATAAAATTCAGCTGTTTACCAAAATCCACCGGTTCTTTTTCAAAAACCTCTAAATTACTTTTTGCGACAGACTTCGCCTACTGCAAAAGTCTCCATCTTCAATTTTGTAGTTTAGAAAAGTTACCGTATTGCGATTCTTGGAGAAACACGAGAATTTAGAAAATGGGACTAGCACCATACAGTTCCTTAACACACACTTGTATGAGGAGAAAATTTGAAGAAAAAAATTGGAGCGGTTTTTGAGAAAAAAATAGTTAAAAAATTAAATTGCCTATGTTGAGTGCAGAATTACACGAAAACGACTCATATTTTCGAAAAATTAGAAGCATTTCAATTTTCGAAATATAAGAGATTTTGTCGAACATTACACCTGCAAAAATTATCTTAAGCGGTGCTTACGCTATCTGACGAGGAAGTTTAATTTAAAAAATGAAAGCCATTTTTGGGAAAATTTTGTAAATTGTTGTTGGCGCACGAGAGATGGGTCATAGCATCTTCGAGGTCGCGATGAAATTAGGATTTTCCCGTACGACCATTTGACGAGTGTACCATAAATTCGGCAAAACACCAAACCTCCGGCATCACTACAGCTGCAAAAAGGTCGTGTAAGAACGGGACTGACGACGATTGAGGAGAATCATTACACGTGCAACCCTTCCACAAATTGCTGCAGATTTCAATGCTGGGCCGTCAACAAGTGTCAGTGTGCGAACCATTCAACGAGACATCGATATGAGGCCCACTCGTGGACCCTCGATGACTGCTGACACGAAGCTTTACGTCTCACCTTGGCCCGTTAGAGACTGTTGCTGACACCGACATTAGAGACTGTTGCTGACTGGAAACACCTGCCTGGTCTGATGAATCTCGTTTTACATTGTTTCGAGCAGATGGACGTGTACGAGATAGCGCCCACCTCGTTAATCGATGGACCCTGCATGTCAATAGGGCTTAAGCTGGTGGAGACACTGTGATGTTAAGGGGCGTGTGCAGTAGGAGTGATATGGCACCCCTGATATGTCTAGATACGACTGTCAGGTGACGCGTACGCAAGCATCCTGTCTGATCACCTGCGTCCATTTATGTCCAGTGTGCATCCCTACGAACTTTGACAATTCCAGCAGGACAATGCGACAGCCCCCACGTCCAGAACTGCTAGAGTGGGGCTCCAGACACACTCTTCTGAATCACTCTTCCACTGTCCACCAATATCCCCAGACATGAACATTATTGAACATATCTGGGATACCTCGCAACGTGCTGTTCAGAAGAGATCTCCTCCCCCCTTGTACTCTTACGAGATGGACAGCCCTGCAGAATACATGTATCAATTACCTCCTGCACTACTTCACACATTAGTCGAATCCATGCCACGTCGTATTTTGGCACTTCTGCGTGCTCGCGGGGCCCTATACGATATTAAGCCGGTGTACTAGTTTTTTTTTTTTTTTTTTTTTTTTTTTTTTTTTTTTTTTTTTTTTTTTTTTTTTTTTGTTCTTCAGTGTATACAAAGCTCCGGGCAATACCGAACTGCGAGTCTCGTACTGTGCAAAATGGTTTTACAATTGTACGATCACGTCTGTTTCAAAAGAAAAAATACCTTTTCATTGCGACGTAAAGAAAAAACGCCTGGTAAAAAGTGAAAAATACTACATAAATCTGCAGAAAAGTTTCCAACCAGTAAAACATTTTCCCCTTGGGATTTGAATTCAAGTTCTTAGAATAACACGCCAGTCAGGTTAACACTTCACTATCAGCCTCAAAGTTGAAATTTACTTTTAAGACGCTTAACTAAAGTGGAAAATTCGCAAGTACAATTTTCAAAACTTCGGAGATTTTCTATTACATTATATCAAGATCTAGCTTTAAATCACAGATTTCGTTCACAAAAATCTATTAATAATGTTGAAGATTTACGTTATTTAGTTTGCATTTTTTTCATTTATAAATTAAGGTTATTTGCAAAACAAATCCCTTAATTTCCTTATGGCATGGTGGCTCTTTTATTGACCGCTTGATGTTGATATTTTGCAAAAGTAAGATTTCAACGAAAATAGGACATTCTTTATGCCATCCAAAGAAACATTTAAACAAATTGGAGCAATTTCTAGATATTTTGAAAATCCAAGTAAATATTTTGAAAAACTTGGCTGTTTGGGCATAGCCGCGACGATAGCTGGGATTAGGTTTCGACCATTCTTCCATCGTCTTCCGATGGCTAGACTGACAGGAATGCGGAGATAGGACGGACCGACCGAGACGAGGAGGGGGGAGGGGGGGAGGGAGGGAGAGGGACAGGCGATGGGTGGGAGGCATAGACGGAGGATATTATGGGAGTGATCTCCCCCATTTCTCGGCAACATCCGGCGACGACCTACGTCGTCTTATGGAGATATTCGTCAACCAGATATCTGCCATCACAGGGGCACGGCCCCCAAGCGGGACGAGCCCATGGACGGACAGGAGGTCAGACAAGTCAGACGGGCTGGCGGGCAATCAGACTGACGGACAGATTTCTGACAGTGCCGTCAGGCGACCAGCACCACTTTCTTTACCCTTAGTTGCTATACGAAGGAAAACATTAAAGAAAATATTTGGAGACTTAAGAGAAAATATTTTTTCAAATTTTATAAAAATTTTGTTTCTCGCAAAATTACGTAAAACCATAAATATTTTCGAACAAAATGTACATGACCTTTATTAAAGTTTCTTTTTACGGCAGAATGTGTCCAAGGCAAAAATCACTATTTTCAATTCTGTATTTTGAAATGATTTTTTCGAAAATACGGAGTTCGCCAAAACTAGGACAAGAACAATATTTTTATCGCTCTTTGATAAAATACGAGATGAAAATTTAAAGAATATATTTGGAGCAGTTTGTGAGAATTTTTTATAGAAATTGCATAAATTTCAGAAAAAATACGCAAAATCCACTGTGATTTGAAAAAAAATCGTACATACTTTTTTAAAGACCTGATTTTTTACAACAGACTGTTTTAAACTAGTGATACTACATCAATGAATTATCTAAATTTGCAATTTTCGAAAATTTAGAACTATCAACGAAAATGGGATCTGCGTTAATCTTTTAAGCGACCCTTCTATCCGTGGAAAAAATGTAGAAACAATTTGGAATGGTTATTGAGAAAATTATTTTTTTATAAATTGCATTAATTTCAAGCGCATATTACACGAATTCTAGTCATGTTTTTTAAAAAACTGAACATTACTTTTTTTACAGAGGCGATTTTTCGACTTTTTTTTCTTGTTATTTAAGGTCGCATCAACAACTAGGTCATTGGCGACCAATATTGCACGTAACGGTATGGTAACAGTCTGGACGACACGATGATAGGGAATGGAAGGACGAACAGAATACAACCATGTCGAGGTGGAACTCGAACCCGCGATCCTTCGGTCCGAGATCGCTACGGCACTGTTTTAACGATCTCGGTCACTGGATCGGCTTTTTTGGACTTTGTCAAACGCAAAACTATCCATCATCAATTTTGTAGTTTTGAAATGTTAACTTTTTGCGATTTTAAAAAATACGGAGAGTTCGCGGAAAATTGGCTTACCACCATATATTTCACCGTCCCTTGATAAATACAAGGAAATAATACTAAGAAAAAATTTGGGGCGGTTTTTGAGATGAAATTGTTTAAAAATTTAAATTGGTTATATTTTACGCAAAATTACAATAAAAACACTCATATTTTCGAAACATTGAATATGACCTTATTTCCCGATCTGTCTTTAAAGATCACATTACAATCGCTTTCTTTAATATTGAAAAATCGCTTTCTTTAATATTGTAGTTTTAGGAAGACGTCGCAAAAAATTGTACTTTTGCAATTTTTGAAAAATAACAGATTTTAACGAGTATACGACCTGCACTATTCCCCTAAGCGTCCGGTTCAAATACGAAGAAAAATATTAATCAATTTGTAGACATTTTTGAGAAAATTTTGAAAATATTAATATTTTATGTACAGTGCCCTCAAAATCATAATATCTGTTTGAAACTCTCAAAGCGTCGAGTTGGTTCAGATCGATCGGGGAATATCAATTTTGAAAATAATCGGCAGAACGGTTTTAGGCGCTAGCGTTGATCACATGGACGGACGATAGTCGGACAGGTTTTGACGTAAATCGATTTTTCGATATCAAAGATCATGAAACATTCGCGCTACATCACTAACTAGAGGAAGTAATTTACTAAATATAAGAACAGGATTTATCTCCTTTTTCGTTACCAAAGTTCAACAATAATTTTTTCTTTCGAAAATCCGTTTCCCGGTGCACGATCACAGATCTTTCTCTTCTTACATTCGTAAGAGCGATAATGTATAAAGTATCTCCAATATTTTAGTTTTAGGGAAACGCTGAAAAAACATATACGAGTACTTTTGCAATTTTCGAAAAAATACGGATTTTACTTAAAATGAGATCATGCCATTTTAGGAAGTTCTTTGCGATATCAAAGGGAATTTTTTTTTTAAAAATTGGAGACATTTTTCAAAAAATCAAAAATGTTTAGCTTTATGTAAATAACCCCATCACACATTATCCATTTCAAACATTCATACGCTAGTCCTCGTTTAGAGCCATTGGAAAATACTTTTAGAAAAAATCACCAGGACGGTTTAGGTGCTAGCGTTGACTACGGACGGAGAGACGAGAACGGACGAAGATGGACAAGAACGGACAAGGGCGGATGGACGTTTTGTGGTATCATTCACGTGTTCGTATTTTAGCGCTCATTCCCCGTAAGTTCCCCCATACCCAACTTCTGGCCTATTCGATTTGGTCCCTTCTGCTCCTACGAGAATCGCCTTGAATTACTTGTGATACATAAAAAAACACAGTTGCACACACATTCGAACAGAAATGCTTTTGTAAATAGCTACAATATGTATTCAAAATTTGCTCTGGTATATCAATAATTCTTAATTTCATTGCAAGTCCTCAAATTACATTACCTGGTGAGAAGGGCCAACTCTAATTTCTCCTTGGGTTGAAGCCATCCTGACATTCTTTCTTGGCAGATTCTTCAGCTACCTACAAATAACATATCAATTATTATACAATAAGAAGTTTAAAAACAATAACAAGCAAACAACAATAACAAAGTTTCAATTATAAAAATACAGAGCATGTTGACATGCTCTGAACATGTCTCAATGACAGTTTATGACAGTTAAGTTGCGCCTGTGTGACCGCAACATAATTGTTGGAAATTAAAATCAATATTTCATACATTAAAATCGCAAGGCAGCTATAGTATGAATTGGCATTTTGGAAAAACTCCCATATTTTGAATAAAATATTACTTAGTAGACGATAATTTTCAAGTTACAAATTAGTTGTAATTATGGTACATTATGGTATGGTAATATTATATAAAACGATATATCCTAATTAAATAAAATGTATATTAGCAAATTACTTTACAAGTACAATTTCTTATATTGTTCAAATACAGAATATACAACACCTATGTATTGGGCATTATTGCGGTTTATCAGTGGCACAACCAAGAGAGTGGCTCAGCCCTCCCTATGCAGAAGACAATAACACATTCACAAATCTAATTTTTACTCATTTTCTATAATAACAAATGACATTTAATATCCCAGTTGAACATGTTATATCGATTCATTAAAAATAAAAGTATATATTAAATTCAGCATTAATGAAAAATTCTTTAAAGAAAACACCGTCAGACAAGACACATACCCCCTACAAAAATCCTGTGTGCATCACTGCATTATCAAAAAATTGTTTGTTGTTCATTTTTAATTTTAACTTTCATGAGCATCGGCATATGTCAAACGTTTATACTGTGTGTTCCATTCCTTCTACTTATTTTAAAAATATTCATGACTAATCCATTCATGAAATTAAAATCAATCGCAGAATGCAGTTAAAGTAAACCAATCTGGCAGTGTTTCTAAAAAAGCTTATCATGTTTGCCATATCCCCTCCTCCTCCTTACTGAATAAGTATATGAAACTTAATGCAGTACATCGGGCATTTCGATTGTCTTGTTCAATTATTATTCAATTCAAAACAAAAGAAATGGCGAACTGTTTTAAACTCATGTCAGAGCACGAAATACACAGGAAATAATACTTGATAAGTGTAATGGATCATATATCTGAGAATTAAAATTTACTAATAATTAACCTCTTGAACTGTTTCACCTCTCACTTGAGCGAGTCAAAATCTTTAAGCGAATAACTGTTATGTTGACTGCCAAATCTACAATATTTGATTTTCTCAACGGAATCATGAAAATGCCAAGTTTACGCTTCTATATTACAAATTTATAATTTTGGTGTAAATTGGCGAAGTCGTCCCTACACAGGAAACCGAAAGATTATTATATTGATTTTGGAACCTGGTTCTCTTTTATTCTTTCTCCTGTTATTTTTTTTACCTACTCAAATTATCTCTCTCTATTATTTTATATATATATATATATATATACTACGTGTGACAGCAGACCAGACGGACAGCCAAGACCATAGCAATGGCTCGAAGGTGGGCAAAGTAACACACGAGTAAGAGCTGTTAGGTAGACGCTCGGGTGCACGACATATTAGGTACAAGTTCACCGTCGGGCAGGGGATAACGCGTAGTATAGGAAGGTGCTTACTGAGCGCCTGTTGAAAGAACGGTGGCAACAAAATTACAGTCCAATAGTAGAAAGACGTTTTGATGCGGCTATTGCTCCTAAAAACATTCACTTAGGACAATTTTTATTATTTTGCTATTTTAGAACAGTTAAATTGGTAAATTAGAGTAGTGACTTGCACACATTTTGTTCTTTTACATTACGTCAATATTTGAAGGAGTGTAATTGAATTTTTGATTTCATGTCAATGTTATTAGGATAGCCTGCACAAATTTAGACTACTAATTAACTTTTCAAGGGAATTCGAGTGGTACGTTTTTAAGGGTAATTTTTCAGAGTATCAATCTTGAAGTAATATTACTGTGTCTCATTCAATCATGAGTGGGCTGTTGTTCAAGGTTCTCCTGTGTTTCTTGGATTATTCGCTTTCGTAAAGAAGTGGTTGATTCTATTATTCCTTGGTTTCCTGTCTTAATACTTATGCACTCAAAAGTTTACTGGGTAAATTATACCTCCCGTTTTGCGCCTGGTGCAATTTTGTGTGATTTTTATGTGTTCAAGGGTTTCAACCACTTTCCCTCCGCACCTGAAGATCCTGTCCCTAGATTTCTTTCTTAAAGCTTCGCTTCCACCGAGCAAATATTTGATAAACGACCTTCACGGTTTTCATGCGCTGCTACTGTGGAAGGTGCGCCTAAGTTGTGGGGGTGTAGGTGGGTAATGTTAGTAAATATATATAC